AATAAAAGAAAAGGGTAAACGGGCGAGACAGGCAGTACTCGTAATTGGCTCATTGGTGACTTAGTACAAGTGTAGCCATCTATGTGTAAAAACAATTAAACAAGTAACTCACAGTGGGTATTGTACGTACGTACATGTCATGCCTGTCGGCATTGGGTTAAAATATACTTCTGTTGTCCTGCACACAGATAGAGCAGCATGCATGCAAAGCATTGCCACAAAATAAATGCAGTAAAAGCATTTTTACTCCATTTATATTATGGCTGTGGTTCATTCTGTCGTATGTTATTTATTATTCATCTTAAATACATTACTAATGGCATTTGTAAACTACATTTACCTGATTGTCCACTGCAGTTTTATTTTATCCATTTTTTTTTAACATAAAGGACTTCATAAAAGCTTAGTTACTAAGAATTCAATTATTAGCTGATATCTAAATTGTAATACTATTATTAATTTAATGACATTATTATTGTTATTATTATTTTCATTATGATTATTCTAATGTTATTAACAATAATAGTGACAAAAATAAAAACTTCCTTTCTGCAGTCATCTGTGTGTAAACAGAAATAATAAAACAAAACACAGTGGACAGTACCGGTATACTTGCCCACCCAGCCTCATCAAGTTAATCATCACATAGTGTTATATGCTTTATATTAATAAATAAACAGTGTAAGTTACAAAAAAAGATAAGATTTGAGTCTTGGCAGAAACTTGTGATCAGGTAATAGTAGTTGAGTTTTGGCTATTTCTTTCATCTAAGTAAGTTTTTAACATTACTATAAGTATTGTCAGTTTAGTTAAAGGTTGTTCCTTTTTCCATGAAGTATATTTGTATTCATTATAGTTATCTTAATGTTTTAGAGTATAGTGTTCGTAGAGTTTATATATTGTACTTGAAACATAGCAGTGCAAAATGTGTAGATTAAGATTAGAATTTACCTTTTTGTTTTTGGATTTGCAAAAGTTGAATTGCAGAGCCATTTCAGTAACTTAAAATATTAATGATTTACTGTGGAGGATATCAGAGCTTTTTGCTAAATGAATGCTGAACTGGAAAAATGTGTATGATTTATTTATTTATACTAGATTCTCTCTCTCTCTCTCTCTCTCTCTCTCTCTCTCTCTCTCTCTCTCTCTCTCTCTCTCTCTCTCTCTCTCTCTCTCTCTCTCTCTCTCTCTCTCTCTCTCTCTCTCTCTTTTGTGTGAGTTTGAGGGGTGCATATCTGGATGTAATGAGAAACCAGTTTCATGAAAAATGTTAACTATATGTCTCTTTTATACTTTAGACATACAGTGGATTTTGCACGACAAATGGAGGCAGCAGGTGCTAGCTTCATCACTGTACATGGACGTACGCAGGATCAGCGAAGTGACCCAGTGTGCTTAGATGCTATAGCCGATATAAAGAATGCTGTAAAAATTCCTGTCATTGCAAATGGGGATGTCCGGTCTTTGGATGATGCTGACAGGATACAGAAAGTTACAGGAGTTAATGGTATGTGTCCTTTTTTATATGTTATTTCTTTGGTAATTTCTTTTTATCTTCATTTTAACTTGTATGTATTCTGATTAATTATGTATTTGCTCTTTTCCTGTTATATAAATACAAACAATAGTTATTTGATCTTGCAGCTCTCCATGTTTGATTTTCTATTTCAAAAACATCTCACACACAAACATTTTGGGATATCTATATTATTGTAAATGGATAAACTGAAATATATCTTGATGCTATGGTTTGTGTTAAATATCAGATTAAACTATAAGAATTAATGTGTAAAATGAAAACCTGATGTATAGTTCATGTTACCTAAAAGCTTTAAGAAAGTATAAATGAGAAGAAATACCAATTATTCCAGTCTTCAGCTTCCTTGTTTCCTGTATGATAGTCGTAGCGTACTTTTTCTTTGATATAGAATGTATCTTCTTTTCTTTGTATTTCTAGATTTCATATTATTTTTCCTTTTGTTTTTCATTACATTATTTTTGCATTTTCATGCTTTTTAAATGGCATTTAAGTTCATAACACAAAATGAACAGCAGGCTATCCCCCACAGGTGTGATGGCTGCGAGAGGTATACTTGAGAACCCTGCCATGTATGCAGGGTATGAGAGCACACCTTTAGAATGTGTTAAGGACTTTGTTAACATTGCTGTTTCAACTGGGACCCCTTTCAGCTGCTTTCACCATCATCTTATCTATATGCTGGAAAAATCTTTTTCACGATCTGAAAGAAGATATTTCAATGTATTAGGCAGCACAAGTGGTGTGATCAGCTTCTTAAATGAGAAATATATGATTGAATTTTATACTGAATTTTATTTTGAACCTTTACTGCTATGCAACTGTTTCTTCTTACTTCCATTGTGAGTGCTACTTTATATATATCTATATATATATATATATATTATATATATATATATTATATATATATATATAATATATATATATATATATAATATATATATATATAATATATATATATATAATATATATATATATATTATATATATATATATATTATATATATATATATAATATATATATATATATTATATATATATATATATATATAATATATATATATATAATATATATATATATATATTATATATATATATATATATTATATATATATATATATTATATATATATATATAATATATATATATATATTATATATATATATATATAATATATATATATATATATATAATATATATATATATATAATATATATATATATATATAATATATATATATATATATATAATATATATATATATATTATATATATATATATATATATATTATATATATATATATAATATATATATATATAATATATATATATATAATATATATATATATATAATATATATATATATAATATATATATATATAATATATATATATATAATATATATATATATATATATATATAATATATATATATATATATAATATATATATATATATAATATATATATATATATAATATATATATATATATATATAATATATATATATATATTATATATATATATATTATATATATATATATAATATATATATATATATATATTATATATATATATATAATATATATATATATATATAATATATATATATATATAATATATATATATATATTATATATATATATATATAATATATATATATATAATATATATATATATAATATATATATATATATTATATATATATATATAATATATATATATATATAATATATATATATATATTATATATATATATATTATATATATATATATTATATATATATATATTATATATATATATATATATATATATATATATATATATATATATATATATATATATATATATATATATATATATAACAATACATGTATGTATGCATTTATACATTGTTGAGACTGTTGTTTCAGCATTCCAGAATCTTTACACGCCGGCAGATTCAAACTTCCCGCATTTATGGTTGCCAAGTAATTACAATTATTTTTACATTTAAATTATCACAAGAATAAAAATAATGACAAAAATAAATAGACGACATGGAAATTAAAATAATCTAAGACTCTTTTTCTTAGTATTTATTTCTCAGATCATTAAAAGATTATGTCCGTGTTACTAACGACCACATGTATTTGTTTACATCCGTGTGATCGATACCGCCGATTCAACAGTTTAAACCGTATGTCTGTTTGTAAACAGTTTACAGCAGTGAAATTCATTCAAGTTAACGATATCACCCATACATTTGGATCAGGAGAGGCTGCCTGCTTGTGACACTTCGCTGTGACAGAGAATTACGCGTCCTGAGTCGGGCACCTGTGAGAGCGAATGCCAGCCTCTTGCAAACTTTTCGAATTTGCGTTAGTTAGGTGCCACGTCAGTGCCTTTTCTGTCTTACTGAATAACTGCCAAGGGACTATCGCAAGTACAAAACTACTTTTTACGGCTATCAGAAGCTTTCATAGAACCTCAGAACACAGAGGATACTTGGCGCTGCAGTTGAGTGACTGTGTAAGAGCCTGTGGAATTGGTGCTCGTAGCTGCTCGGGGCCACGAATTCGCTTTTCACAATCTAACTTCCATCTTAGAATTTGTGTGCACTTCATCATGTCTGATACCAAAGTATCTGAGGGAATGGAGAGAAACGGAGAGAATCCTGGTGCTGTAGTTGAAGAGCCCGTCGCTGCCTTGGGGTCCGACGTCCAAGACACGAAAGATGAACAAGCCGAGGACTTGAGAGGTCAGTGTGAGGAGAGCGGAGAGGTTGCAGAAGCTATGGAGAAGTGCAAGGTCGAAGGAGAGCTGGATAGAGAGACAACTATACTAGACAAAGAAACAAATGAACCAAATACAAAGGTTGCTGAACCCGGCAGTGATGTTACTGACCCTAAGAAAGAAGGGTCAGTAAAGGAGACGTCCGAGCCCAAAGAAACCCCATCGAAGGCTGAAGGGACGGAAGTGGAGGAAGGGAAGACTCCAGAGAATATGCCCAAGAAGTCTAAGAATCAAATCAAAAAGGAAAAGCGAAGGGCTCTGTGGAACCAGAACAAGGAGATGTACAAGGAAATGAAGAGGTTAAGGAAGGAAGAGAAGGAGAAACAAATCATGGAGATGGAGAAGAGGATGGAAATGCAGCAGTCAGAAGAGTCAGAGGAAACACAGGTAGGAGATATTTTTCTTTGAGAAAACAATGGGATAATGGTATTAATAGGGAGGTTGAATGTTGTTGCTTTGTCATTGTTGTCATTTTCAGCAATCATTAGTTATCTTATTCATCATGAAATTATCTGTGATGAGTGTTGTTATTATTGCAAGAACTTTTTTTTACCGAACCTATTCCCATGCTAAAGGATGAACTAAATAGTGTCTCTCCTCCTGTAAGAAATACTAGGCAAAATATTATTTATTAGTATCACTTATTTGGAAGTCTTTGGATTTTCACTTTTGTAAGGAATGTAGGAGTTAT